GCTTTCGGAATAAACCTTTTTATACAGGATGCTGCCTATTTATCGTTTTAGGAATTTTTTTTTCGTAGTGCCCATTTAAAAAAATGGGTAAAAAAATAAAACATCACTTAGATGGCCATGACTTCAAATCTAGATGTATTCTTCAATGTTTAACAACTTTTTTGATTAACATTTCCCGAGATTTTTCCAAATAAGAGTACTTTACTCTTGTCTCAAAATCAAATATTTGAAGGCTCCCCGTATTTTACGGGTGTTTTACTATATTCTGTTGGTGCATGTTGAGTTTTAGGGGATGCACAAACTTTTATTGGGAATAACTTTTTGTCGAAAAACCCTTAATAAATAAGTTTTCCATATGGTGCATACTTTGGGGATGACACTGTATAACGTTATTGGAGCGTTTGAAGGAGAAAATTTCGAAGAAACAACCGTATATGGCAAAGAATAAAAATGTTTCATCAAGACAGCTCACCGTGTCACAAGTCAATCAAAACAATGTCCAAATTTCCTAACTCAAAGGCTGAGGATAACTTTTGGCAGCCAAAAAAACTTTCGGAATTTGAATCCTCACTCAGTTTTTTGCCTTTTATTCGAGAATGGTCCATTCCTTAGATAATTTCACGCTATCTTCAATTGTAGAGTATTGAATTCTGTATCTGAATACACTTGGTTTGAACTTTTTTGCGAAATATTTCAGACAGTTTGTTCCATAATAATAATAATAATAACTTTATTCACAACGTATACAAATTAAAGTTCAATTAAAACAAAATATGTGAACAAAGTGGTTTGGCGATAAGAGCAGAGCTCTTGTTTCGCAAGAAGTTATAAAGAATATGTAAGTACATAAATATTTGTATAAAAATATATATGGCCTTCATGGAGTAGAAACTACAAAACATTTTATTACATTTTGTGAATTTGGTGTTATAGTTGAGTAAATTATATATCAGCTTGAGGTAAAATAGGCCGATTAAATACTAGACAAATAAAAAGTAAGAAAAATAGATAAAACCTTAGACAAATATTACACGTTCTATAAGAATAAAATATTAATGTACAAATAGATAAAATCTCAGGCAATATGAATGAAATTATGCTACTTACAATACAGTATGATACAACTTTGGGATAAATTTGACTAAGACTAACTTATTTCACTCTAACAGCATAGGAATCACCGTCATTATAATCTATATTAAAGTCCCCTGTTATTATCAGGGAGCAATTCAGAGGCAAATCAGAAAGTAATATTTCTAAGTTATTTATAAATATATTGTCGTCTGAAGAAGGAGATCGGTGAAGGCATACAATATATAAGTTAAATTAATTACTAAAGCAGGTCGAGAACTCAAAATATTTATCCTCCAAGAGGTCTATGTACTTTTCTATTATGATGAAAGAGTATTCAGTAGCTGTACATAAATATTTGTATAAGAATATGTATGGCCTTCATGGAGTAGAAACTACAAAACATTTTATTACATTTTGTGAATTTGGTGTTATAGTTGAGTAAATTATATTTCAGCTTGAGGTAAAATAGGCCGATTAAATACCAGACAAACAAAAAGTAAGAAAAATAGATAAAACCTTAGACAAATATTACACGTTCTATAAGAAAGTAATATTTCTAAGTTATTTATAAATATATTGTCGTCTGAAGAGGGAGATCGGGACCAACTTTGGGATAAATTTGACTAAGACTAACTTATTTCACTCTAACAGATTTTTTTTAAATTGTCTATCTTTTTCGAGAATGTGTTTTCTTATTTGTTTTTTGAATCTATTGTTCTCTTAAATATAAAATTATTACAATGTGTTAAAACAACGATAAAAATAAAATAAATACAACAATAAAAATTAATTGGCGCTCCGGGGCGACTTCATTGATTCCAGTGGCGCATTTGCTTTTTTAGCTGCAGGAAAACCCGGAAAAACCTAAGAGTATTCAACAAGAACCCCAAGAATTCGGAACAATCCTCTTGTTGTCCTAACGAGTATCTAGTGGATTTCAAAGACTCCAGGAAATCGGTTGGTTGAATATTGGTTTTTTGAATATTGGTTTTTTATTTTGTGAGGTACGGTGTTATAAAATTGAGTTGCTCTTTGTGAAATTGACTTTTTGACAGTAGGATACGTTAGTTGGTCGCGATGTCGTGTGTTATAGTCGTGGTGTCGTGATGTTGTTTTATTTTTGCTGAAATGATACTTCACGTTTGTACAATAGTAATATAATTGCTCATATCCATAACTTCACACTCTTTATACAGGAGATCTGACGAGAAACGTGAATTTCTAGACATGATTAACTTCATGAATCTCCTTTGTAATACCTCTAACGGATTGAGGTGTACACGCAGTGCTGATCCCTATGCTGTTATACCATATCTCAAATGGTTCTCTACTAGGAAACTATATAATTGAGTAAGGTATTAATATTGTATGAACCTCATAACAGAATATCAGTGAAATATTTGTTGAATACATTTTTTTCGAACCATTCAATAAGCAGGAGTGAATCTCATAACTGCCAGCATAAGTTTTAAATTCTGTCGTACAGGGTGTTGTTTTGAAGAGAATTATGTTTCTTTACTTTTAAAGTCAGGATCTGGATTTCAGATTTTATTTATACGCTATTCGGTCCTGTATTGTACGAAAAATAGATATTCACCACATATGAAAATAAAAAGATTCGTCGCACTTCGTAAGATATGGCGAATTAAAACATTGCATTGCATCTCGTTGATAAAGGTCTGAGACCCATTAATTATAGGTCATTTAGAACCATCTGAAACATCACGTGAATAATGTTGTTTAAATACTTTGTGGCTGTTATATTTTCACTTAATTGGATTTCATTATAAGTTATTCATTTGTTCCACATTACCACGTCATTCATAGAAACACATATCAATCTTTAATAAATGACACCTCCAATTGAGTTGCCGTAACTCCTGACATGCCTTATAAACAGTTGGAAACGCGGCGAACATTCCTGCTAAACGACTTTCTGCAACCCTGCTCGGGTTGCTCGATTAATATCTGTCAATTGTACGAATCTTTTCAGCTTCACCGGATAATTGGGTTGTGATGAATGGGTTTGAAGATTTGTTTTATTTCACCGTTAGATAAATGAAATAGAAACGGTTTTGCTTGGTTGGGTTTGAAACGGAATTCTTGTGCAGAATAAAAGTGTATTTAGATGTATTTCTATATATTTGCTGGTCAAAGAAATCGCCTTGGTAGGCATTTTTTATGGAAAATCAATGTTTTATTTTTTGTTTCAAAATTGGAAATTGAATGGCTAAATTTGTTGCTGTATCTCAATGAATGGATTGTAATCATCACTCAACTGAAAATTTTGAATAGAGTGGTAAAAAAAAATCAACTAGGTATCTTGCTCATGTTTATAGTTCTCATATTCACAACTAGAAGTTCATTTTCCTATACCGTGTGATCTTCTAGGCCTTATCTAGTTTGACAATATACTCGTAGGCTGCAGCCTTTATCATAAAATCCTAGCACTGAAGAAACCTTCATATTTGTATAATAAGATAAAATTCAGACTTGACCAGCACAATAACAATGTACGTAATAAAAATAATATTACAATTCCGAAACATAAAACCTCGTTGTTCAAATCATCATTTCCGTATAATATAGCTACCCTTTATAATGCTATCCCCAATGAAATAAAACATATGTCAATCTATTCTTTTCGGAAAAAACTGAAACTGATTCTACTTGATGGTTTAGACCTCCAATTTCTTGAATAATTATTACTGTGCTGATATCATCCATGTAACTTTGAACAATATAATTATCATTACTTGTCTGTGTCGATATATATTTGCAAGTGCCACAAAAAATTTTAATATTTCCAATAGGATAGTTAGAAAACTTTTTTTTTTCATTAGTTAATTATCCAGGGATTAATTTCCGTATAGTTTTTACCTAAAGTAGAAATCTGATAAGATATCATCATTATAACCGTCTGTTGGAAGTATAATTTGCTGGTTGAGTGGAAGAGCGCTGCTTCTCAACTCCTGTTGAGAAAGCATTTTTTTAAAGACGCTCCAACCTATGAACTTATTTTGGTTAGAATAACATAGTTTTTGTAAAAAGTTCAGCTACCAAGCAGAGCACATGAATATGACAAGTGGGATCCCGTTGAAACGTCGTGATAATGTCAATGTTGAACGGATGTACACCTGGGATGACATTTTACCATATGCCATCATCCCTGAAAGCCTACGCCAGAACATAAAACTTATGTGGTTTCTGTAGTCTCAGTTGAACCGCGTTCAGTTGGAACTGAAATTAGCTTATGTATGTCAGTGTATGTATATATGTATACACACACACATACACACACTAGGGACGGAAAGGACTTCACGACAACGTTTAGTCAGGTGAATTTGAACGCTCCCTGCAATTGGCCGTCAATGGATATATCTCGAATACTTTCACCATCAACGCTGGCATTCCCCAGGGATGTATATTATCTTCAATCCTCTATTTATTGTATATCAGCGACTTATTGAAAAAACTACTGATCCAATATATTGCTCTGCTGACGACAGCACACTTTCGTCATTCCTTTCGGATTCCAGGATCTCCAGCGATTCAACTCCAATGTGAATCACTACTTTTGCATAGGCACCGCTCTTAGAACGTCTTGAAGATTCTCCTATAGTACTTGTGTCTTGTCCTCAATTATTGAAAAACATTTTTCGGCACCACAACAAAAATAATGTCGTTCGACACGTGTTTCGTTAACTTAATTGACATCGTCAGGAGACGATTGAAACAAAATCTAACAATCTCGTAGTTGCATGTATTTTCAGTATCATCAAAAAACTATATTTTATATTTGGCAAATAGGTATTTATAAATAACTTAGGTTCTCAGAGTCGTAGAAAAAATATTACAAATCAATTCCAGCTTTATAGTTAACCAATCGTTTACGAATATTTTTTTCACAGATGGGAATAGCCATTTCCTCTTCATAAAAGATTATGCCCCACTTGGGGAAAACTCCTGAAAACATTGAAATGGCTTTGGATGAGCAGCAGAAACTGATCAATCCAGGTGAGTGACAATTTCGTCCAAATTTTCACTCGTATGGTTTTTCTTCTCCCTGAAAATACAAAATATTCCGGTTGAATAGATACTTGAAAATGTGTATATATTAAAGAAGTGGTTGTGATCGAATTTTTTGCAATAGTTTTCATTAAAGTTTCAAATGATTTGATTGCATAAATTTAGGTTTTTTGCGAAATACATATTTCCTCATATACATATACGTATTCCAAACTATAATAAGGAAAAATAAAAAAAATGAGAAGCAATTTTCTACTTTTGTACTCACTATTTGCAGATCATCTTAGGATAGATTTTTGGAATATTCTTGTTCATGGTTTTCGTATGCTTCACTATCAAATTCGATAACCACCTGAAACATGAACGAAAAAATATGTGGCATGATAATTATTTTACAACTTTCACACCATCTGAAGATCTTGATCTAACAATGTCCTCTCTCTTATAAAACAAAATGTAGGGTGTCTCCAGAGGCTCCAATAAATTCAATGCATCGCCAGAACACTTTGTGGCACGAGTATCGTCTAACTTGAACCAGTCCGTTTCTTCTTTGACCAAGGCGTAATAATGACCAAATTCAACGCCAGAACCACAGTGAACAATGACTGCATGAATATTATATTTCAATTCAAGACACTTTTCACTCCACGGTAGTTTCCCCAGTTGGACTGCCAAAGTCCAGAAATTCATTGAGTTTTTCTCTGAAAAAACAATTTTTAAAGCACAAAACGACCCCATAAGTGTTGTCCTCCAAATTTTTTCATTTCCTATACATTGATGCTTGATTTTCAAAAATCAATTCACTCTTTTAGAAATCATGAAGTTTTAAAATATCAACATTACGTTTGACAATGTTTAATTTCACCTCACAACTCGCTTCATTTGTCAAGTAATTGCTCAAAGTGGTATTCGCTGATACAGTAATATAAATTGTCCTGAAAACTCTGTCGTATATTTTGGAGCTCTCGTGGTGCAGATATTCCAAAATGTCAGGTGTAGTGCTGTATACTTCATTCATGTGCTCTCATTAAAAATCTGGAAGAGTACAATTAAGTGACAAAGGGCGCCCGCAATATCCATATAATCCGCAAATTTTGTGAGTAATGCGGAGAAGCTACCTATGATGGAAAATCAGTTCTTGTTCATTATATACGCTAATGACAAATGTAGTCGATGCTGATGACACCTAAAAAAAGTAGTTTTTGAAGTTGGGTTGATAACAGTTTGTAGTGATTCCAAGTACATATCGCCTGTTCGAATACTAGGTTCGAATGCTGAAGAAGCTACAATAGAATTTCCGAAAATACCAGCCCATATATTGAACTTTTGGGGAGGTTCGATTGGAGTAGAGTACACTGGTCTGAAAAACATACATTGAATAGAAGGCAAAGTAATATTAATGGCTCGTACTCTCAAAATTTCGCAAAATTGCAAGCAACCAACGGTCAGAGTCATCTTCACTAAACGAATTTCATAAGGTATCCCGTTATTTTCGAATTCTTGGGATACTTATGCTCCGGTTGCTCTCGTCTGGTGACTGGGTCGTGAGTAAGTCTAGGAAAATGTCATGGAAAATCAGTTCTCTAATTCAGAATTCTTTTAGTTTCTTTTTTTGTTTTTATGGGCGCCACCCAGCTTGTTTTCTCTAAACTGGGAAATATAAAAAACACTTTCACGGACTTTCGGAGAAGGCAATAAAGCCACAATAAATATTATATTGTATATTAATAATTGATATATAAAAAAATATCGGTACCCGGAGTAACGTTACCCTTGGCTTACACTTCAAAATTTAACACTTTATTTCTTTCGAACGACCCCAAGGGTCACAATAATAGTACGTATATGTGGGAACTAAATATTTGTTAGGATTATCTTTTCTAATCCAGAGCTCGCCTTTTGCAAAATCAGGGAGGGAAGGTTAAATAATCCAGGAAGGGATATATGCTGGAATTCTAACGGTACACGGGGAAATTTCTCCTACGTCCTTGCACAATTTCCATATGAAATAAAAAATAGATTCGGTCTGACCTTAGGATCCAACTGATTGAAGTCCAAGGTGAAAATTATTCATTCATCATTTCCTATCCAACTGCACCAATGAATTATTGTGATTAATAGTAATCTCCGTGTTACCAATTTCTATGTAATATGATAAGGTATGGAGGCCTGACAGATCTACAAAAATAGGATTTGAATTCAACTTTTGATTCAACGATATAATTGTCAAAACGGATAAGGATGCAACCTACCTTCTTCCCAGAACAGCCTCCAAAATTCCTTTAGATATCAACAGGTACAGGAATGTGATTTCGCTTCTTTTGATAAACCAACGAAAAATTTTGTACCAGCTAATCTTCTCGACTCCTTCGTTCTCGATCTCTTTACCGTTCTGTTAGTCGGGACATGCGCAAATTTGAATTCCAATATTTAAATCAATTAATCTTTGAATTAGCATATGGTATGCAACCTTCCTTACCCTAGTAAATATGTTTATTCCAAATATCTACCGCGTTACTTGTTGATTTAGTAAGGTCATTTCGATTCTCTCTGAGGGATCTATACCCAGGTTAACAAAATTATCCCAACGTTTCTGAAGTGTTCAAATTTTACGTTACAAAGGATCGAATATTTGCTTTTTAAAAAAAACGACCCAATTTTCATTCTGCCGACAAGTTCTTTTCCTGGATGTGATGCCTTGATACAATTAGGCTAATTGCACACACACCGATTGTTCACTATTGGAATCGGACAACCGGTATAATATCGGCCGTCCAAAATCGGTGTGTGTGCAATTAGCCTTACGTTTTCGAAGGACCACCCATTATGATCCAGAAAACGTAGACATGTAAGGTAGCAGTAGGAACATAACGGACCCTGAAGATAACATTTTGCTACCTTTGTTATCATGGTTTGACGTATATTGGTCGTGAATAATATACAACACTTTTTTGTTCTTGTAAGAATATTCTGCTATTCCATGACCCCACCTGCTGAAGCGTTTTTGTTGACATATACTCATATTGGTTTACATCCAGTGGTCTGTTAGTGATATGCTCCTAATATGCCATAACCTACTTTCACCTTTTCAATATATTGCTTTGCTGACTACAACACACTTGTCAAATTATTCCATTCGGATTCCAGGACATCGGCTACGGATGCAAATCTTTACCGGCAGCAGGAGGTTGCATATTTTAATGAGGATCTAGAAGTGATTTCGAGTCGGGGTGGAAGTAACCAGGTACAATTCAATGTCACAAAAACCCAGGCATCGGTTTTCTCAAAAAAAGCCCAAACTGGATACAATAATGTCAGGACAGACAATTTCGCTTTCTGGGTCGATGAGTTTTTGTTGGGGGGTTAAAATGGACATCAATATATCTTGTCGCTGGAATTGCAAAAGCCGCTTCCCAAAAGCTTGGAACACTGTTCCGAACCAGAAAACTGTACACACTTCAGCTACTTTTGATGCTTCATAAACCTCAGATAAGACCTTTTCTGGAGATTTGTTCTCATGTATGGAGCTCCGCCCCTGAGCATACCCTGAAGCTACTGGATTCCATCCAGATAAGAACGATCCGCCTGATTTGAGACGCGAACATCACTTGCAACCTTGATAGTCTGGAACATCGAATGAAGGTTGGAGATTTGTCTCTCTTCTATAGATACTCCCACCGGAAGTGTTCAAGTTACTTGGCACATTTGACATGTACCGCTCTTGCGGTACATTAACTGCGTTGGAATAAACTTCTTGAGAACGTTTTTCCAATGGATTCAATATCCAGCGATTCAGGCACCGCTCTTAGAGTTCCTCAAGGATTGTTCTGTAGTGCTTGTGTTTTGTCCTTAAAACATCTCTCACGTTTCGGAGCTGAATTGGGTTGCTTGCTCAGAAGTTTCGTAAAAAAATTCCTTCATAAATTATGCATATGACTCTGTCGAAATGGGAAGTGTCTGCTGATAATTTATTCACTTGTTACCGCAGTTCCTTTATAAGTTATCAAGGGAACAATGTTCCTTCTCCGTTATTCAACAACGATTGCTTATTCATGATTTACTCTAGGCCATGTCACGCTGCCCCAAAATGGAAATATAAATTATGATATATAGTTTGATGAATAGGGATCATTAGCCCTAAACGATATTTGAGTGTACGAAAAATCGATTCACATGATTGTTTTGGAAGGTTATGATTGAATTCGTTTGTTATTCTATATATTATCTGTTACATCGAAAATCAGAATAGAAACAAACAGAAAGAAAAATGATAGTTTCTACTGAAACCTCTTGCCTGAAATGATTCTATTGAAAACACTTTTCCAACACCAGAACAAAGTTACGGTCTCTCGACGCGCGTTTCGCTAACCAAGTTAACGTTGTCAGGTGTGAGTCATAATGATCTTCTGAGGAGGCCAACTTGGTTAGCGAAACACGCGTCGAGATAACGTAATTTTGTTCTGGTGTTGGAAAAGTGTTTTCAATGGATGGAGAAATATGATGAGTACAATTTGAAACCTGTCACCTAAGAATGAATCTATTGAATCACTTTCGTAACAACCCCATAAATAATTTTGAACTATATGAGCTCAAGTTATAATAATATCATAAGTCAACCGCGATAAAGATGTATATCAATAAATAAATATATGAGTTTCCAAAATCAAAGTTAAGATTCAATCAAAAGTGCACTTATATAGCCCTAGACATTCGAACCACGGAGCTCAGCAAGAAAGAAAATTAAATTATCAAATCTTGAAAACTGAAACGTGACTCCAGAAGAGAGGGAAATTTTAACATATCTGATGATGCAATAGTTCGACACGTGGAAGGCCATGTAAACGAGGTCACACGAGTGTCCAGTTTTGGACCATAAACAGCCAATATCGTTCAGAAAGGAGAGTAGAAAAAGAGTCGAGAAGAGTCGAGTCAGAGATTGAAAAAGAGTCGAGAAGAGTCGAGTCGAGAAGAGTCGAGTCAGAGTGAAGAATCAGACAAAGAGAGTTCAGAGAGTCAGAAACAGATTAGATTCTAGTTTCAGTTAGATAGCCATGTAGCTATAAATAGTAAAAGATGAACCAATTGAATAGAGATTCAATTGGAAGTGGAAGTGAAAGTATAAAGTTGCTGTGTTCCGAAAGTTCGATAGTCTATGGCGAGATGTGTAAGTTTTTGTAATAGACTGTAATTTTAGTAATACACTAAATTACTCGATAATGTAATATAACTGATACTCATGTGAAATGTCTCATGCCTCATGTACTGAACGAATTTGTGTCTTCTTAGATTGTGCATCAATGTAAACGCATAATATAGCTATATATATTAAACTGCAAAAAAAAATAAAAAAAATGTTTTCTATTCCTAACCAAGAGACACGTCCCACCCATATTTAAGATCTGTGCGACCTGCTGTATAAAGTTTAACTTTTGTTGAACTTATAAAATGACCGTTCGAAATAACATCTATCCAACCATATATACAGCGGGATCGTCACACTTTTCCCTCACCAGAACAAAAATTATGTTATCTTCCAATGATGCGAACTTGGTTAGAGAAACGCACGTCATTTTATTCTCTTTCAAAAACCTGTTGGTCCGAATTGCTTTCTAAGTCTACCACGTATATTATCTAGACTCTTTCGTCAACTTGAAGTGCAAAATAAGTGCATTCTTGGAGATTTAAAGCCAGTTGTTCTTCAATATTATTAGACATATCGTCAATTCGCCTTTTTACTGTGTTATTCGACAGTGGTGTTTTTTCAATTTCACGTCTTGAACCCTATCCACAGCGGCCGGCAGTAAAAGCGTCTCACCTATTGTGGGAGGCTTTCCATTTTTTGCAATTCTCAAACTAGCAAGGTATGACGCCTTTATCAAGTTAGTATCAGTATTGACAAACTTCGTCAAACATTGGGTTTTTTTCCTTAAAAAATCAGATTTCCTTTTAAAAAATTCAATGGGCTCACCAATCAAATCAGGGTGCTTAGTTTTTTTATGTCGCATCAGTAAAGAAGACTTCATGGATTGGCTCGAAAGTGTTTCAAGACATACAACACATTGAGGAATAGGAATGTTACTGGTTTTAGTCCCTGTCTTCACTATTAAACCGTACTGTAAGTAGGTTCCATCGTATTTACGATTGGCCGGTAATTTAGGTTTTTTTGCACAATCCTTTGAAGTATAAGTCAGAATTAATAATTGAAACACCCGCAACGAACCCGTAATGCCAAGTGAAAGTAAAAGACAATCCTTTTAAAGACCCACAGGTAAAAAATGAAACACCCTTTGTTTACCAATTGTACTATCTGGGGATTCCTAAGTAAAATTCCTAAAGTGTTTTATTGTTTTACTACCTAGGAATTACTAGGAATACTAGGAATATAAATATTACTAGGAATATAAATTCCAATGTAATAGAAAAACAAAGATGTCCGGTCGTTCACTGGGTTATGGGTATTTCGTTTTTCTAGCGACTCGTGAACTGAGTCATGTTTGATATTAACAGCATGTTGCTCACATCACTCATGCGTATCACCTGAAACGTTCCTGCGTACCACCGGTTGGTAACCCCTGATCTAGAGGATTTTGATAGGTTTCCATAGAGGTTTGGAGTCTTACAACGTCTAAATGTTTGCATTTGTAATCTGAACATTTAACCAACTTGTCATTGCATCTTTGATATTAATCTACCAATGTAACAGAAAATCACATCGAAAGCATTTCTTAGGTCATAGGTAATAAGTGATAGATAGATAGATTTATTAAAGCTTTCAATTTAAACAATTGATAAAACTCAAGTCATATAAATGATTACATTAACATTACAAATGTCACTTAATATTAATATAAATAAAAGCATGTGGTATAGGTAAATATAATAAGTATATAAAATGACAGGAACAAATAAGTATATATCACAGATAAAGATTAATGAGTAGAATGTAATATGTGATATTGAAGTTACTAGGAAGCTTAAATTTGATACAGAGTGAAAATGGTTATTTATCCATGAATTCTTGTAATGAATATGGCTCAATGTCACACAACAGATCGAAAATACGTTTTTTAAAAATTTGTTTTGTCCGATCTTCTTTGATACTCAAGGGTAAATGGATGTAGAATTTAATTGATGCATAATGCGGACCATGCTCTGTGTTTTTCAATCTATGTTTAGGAACACTCCTCTCTATATTTGTCATCTTCAAAATTCGATTTGTTCTCGTTTACAAAAAGTACACAAACATAAATATATATTGCATATACAGTAAGCATTTTGTTACCCTTGAAGATACTACGACAAGTGTCTGTGGAATTCATATTGAACATTGTTTTCAATATACGTTCAAAATACGTTCCAGTTGTGTACTCCATCCCTAATCCCATACTAATATTCCATATTTCAGCAGAGGATAAACAGTCCCATAATATGCCGTTTTCAGTGCATCGATTTTCAAGAGAGGTCTCAACACTCGAATTGCATAACACTTATTTGCTAGTTTTTTTGCACCTCATGATTCTCATATGAATTCTTACAGTTTTGTACTCGTTGAAATATCTAATCTTTCAGTACTGAGCTGAAAATACTCCGGAATAGAAATATTCATGTGAACAGTTTTGAACAAAATGTTCACATGTTCTTTAAACTATATTTATTCAAGATGATTTGGAATATTTTTTCCGGAGAGAATTATGGATATAGGGCAATGATTTTATTATTTCAGAAATGAGCAGAACTCTAGCTATCTGAACTCGCCAGGACAAGCCCTTGTTTAGAGCATGCATTAAAAAAATGTGGAGAGGTTCAATCATATATATTGCTGTTCATTTTGGTTTTCTGATGTTGATTATAGGTATCAGAAGAGTGAGAGTTTTATAACTGTAATATTATATAATGATGACTTCCTACCTAGTGACGGGTTCTATGAACAAAAAAATTAGGCACTTTGAGCCCAGTGATGAACGGGCACATACTCATGTTAGGCTAGGTTAGGTCCAAAGTGAGTGGGTCTATTCGACCCTCCCCCGCAACCCGCAAGGGTTTATTGTGGCTCAAACCTATTCACACTCGATCAAATAAACTCAGCTCCTCAACGGAGCCGATTAGTTTGTATGGTGAGTGGTCTTTCAGGTCAGATGGTGAGAGTATGGCTCTGCTGAACTCTAAACACCTGATTCGGTCCCCAGCAGGGCAGGCACAAAGTATATTCTCTGCTGTTTCATCATTTTCCAAACAGAGGCGACACACACTGTCTTCAAATGACAGTGACTTGTAAGAATGCCTGTTAGACATCGTAGTTCATCCCTACTGTAGTCCAACAACTGTTTGGTATCAAGCTTCGAACGGTGTATAAACGCCTTGGAATAAGCCAATCCTGGAAGATTCAGCCAGGAGTCCATAAATCTTTTTGCCATCCAGGTGTCCAATCTTTGTTTGGCAGAGCCTTAAGCGATGCCAATGATAGGTTCTGGTCCGATGAGGCTGATTGTAGCACCCTCCTTTGCAAGAAAGTCAGCAGCCTCGTTGCTTTCCAGGACAGTATGGCCTGGAAATCTGTTGAGTCTTTCTATCGAGGAGAGTCGTTTTTGTCAATTTTCTATCAATTTAGACGTTGCTCGGTGTTTTTGATCCATCTGTGAACCAACAACTATCTGCTCTCAATATTTCCTTGTCCCGGAGGATACAGTCTTCTCTACTTGGAAACAGTACTTAATAAGGCAGTTCGTAGTTGACAGTTGGAGGCATAAAGTCAGAGATCATTTCCAGAATGCTATGACTTCCAGTGTTAACCAACAGTCTGTTGCACTCTCCATCAAATTGATTTGTGCGATTGGCAATGTGCACAAGTCTGTATGCATTCCATCTAGCCTCATTCTTCAAAAGAAATATCAAGGGGAGGTAGATCTAAAAGGATCTCCATGGCCGCTGACGGTGTGGTACTGATGGCACCAATGATGGCACCACTGATGGCACCACTGATGGCCAGGTAAGCCAGAGAGCTTCGCCTGAGCGGTTTTTTATAAAGCCTTAGACCAGTAGGCAATTGCACCATAAGTGATCATTGGTCTGACAATCATCACATGAATCCAATAGATTTGTTTGGGACCTAAACCCCAAGTTTTACCATAAATCACTCGACATGTCCATATGGACAGTCTGGCTTTGTGTAAAACTTTTCTCAAGTGAGCGTTCCAGGAGAGGTTTTCATCAAGAACAATGCCAAGATATTTCACCCCCGTTCCAAATGGAATGACCTCACCATTGAGGGAAAGTGGCGTTAGATCGTCCAATTTTCTCTGTGAGTTTTCTGGTGAAGGGGATTATCACAGTTTTACTGGGGTTGACATACATCTGCTCCCTCAGGTCCCAACTGTGAAAGACGTCCAACGTGCTTTGGAGGATATTAGACATACTTATTCGGGAAAGAAATTCTTGAATCTCCACAAAAAAGTTATTTATCAGAATGTGTCTGTCATTTACTCCACGAATGGGATATTCTCAGTCTCAGTAACCTTCCCAGTCCATTAACAAATGAACTTTTGTTACTGTATAATTGAAGAAATACGGAAAATAATTCGACTTTGATATTTAGGTGGACGCTCCCAACTGTCTGTCACAATTGTGGAAGTAGCAGCAACTCCCAATCCAAGCCCTCTGTCTGATCGCAGTAGCGATCAACTTCTTCAAACTCCGCTGGAACCTGGTAAGTTATTGTGTTACGTTGAGATTAGGTTAATTACTGAGAGCCCTCTCTGTAGGTCGCTGTAAGTGGAAAATTAATGAAATTATTCTGCATGGATAGCGTCGAATCCGTTCTGTATTTCGAGGAAACGGATTTCAATATTGTTGTAATACACTTAGTTGATTTATTAATCGTTAACATATAGCACAAGAGTTTCATCAAGAACATATTGGGCCACCGTAATGGAGTTTATCAATTTATATTAATTTCAAAATCTCTGAACTGTAATAAATGTTGGCTTATGAACTATACAATTTTGCAGGAGTATACGACGAACAGAATATTTTTCAAACCAACCAAATTTTTGTTTGATATGTGAAAAACTGAAAAAATTGCAATCTGTTTTGGCATACGTATCATACGTTTTTACATTTTGTCTTTCTTTTTCTCGACAATAATATTTTTGAAGACAAGTAATCAGAATACTTTTGAATTTTGATTTCAAACGGAGTAAATTCATTTATTGTTTTCTTTCATAAACTTCACTATAGTGAAGTCACATACAAAAAATGGTAAATACAAATATGTTTTATTTCTGAGTTAGTAGAAATCAGACAAAATGTATTGTCTTTATCTTATATTCAATTTCTACAAAATGAATGGGTCATCAATGGAACAAATTTTTTCATTATCAATTTTTTGAAAGGCCTTATTTTGAAGCAAATGTTTTATCTTGAAGTTATGCGCCGCTTGCGAGAAGCAATACGAAGAAAACGTCCGGTATTGTGGAAACACATTTCATGGTTTTTGCATCACCTGCTCACTTGTCAGTGTCTGTTCCTTTTTTTCACCTAAAAGCAACACCGTGATTATGCCTCAGCCACCGTATTCACCAGATTTGGCCCCTTGTTCTCAAGATTCAAGAGACCTATGGACGGACAGAGTTTCGCGATAATAATAATAATAATAGCGATAATAATAATAATAATGATAATAGTAATAAAGGTTGAGGGGCATGCTAGGATGGTGTCTTCAATACCTCAGTATATCGCAGTCGCGTTATGGGTATAGAGATTCCTGACACGAGGCGCAGGGCCTGCCGTAAATCGTCCGAGACCCTAATGCACTTGCTATCAGCATGTTCAGCATATGCGGTCTCGGCCTATATCCATCGACATAACGCGGCCCTAAAAGTGCTATATTACCATCTACGGCACATTTACCGTATTGACGAGACACCGGTGGTGCCCTACGTTCCGGAGGATATTGAATCCGTTGTAGGTAACGAGAAGTGCCTAATTTATTGGAACTATTCGTTCCCCACCCTCGGGCTCATATGAACTAATGAGACTGATGTAGTCCTTCTCGACCACCAGAGCAAGACCATATTTGTCGTTAAGTCTTCAGCTCCTGGTGAGACGAATATCGTCCGAAAAGATGAGGAAAACAATGGAATAAATATCGAGATTTTCTCGTCGAACTCCGCACTCTATCCAGACTACTCTGTCAAGATGGTTGTTCTGATTAATGGAGTCCTTGGTGGAATGATGCCCTCACTACTCTCAAATCTCAAAATCATACCGGCTTGCCGCACTAAGGCAGAAATTTCAGCCAGACAAATGCAGAAGGCTGTCATTATTGGCGCTTGCTCAGGGCACATGATTCTCGGAAGCAATGATCACCCCACGGTGTGTGAAGTGGTTGTTGGTTGATAATGCTGGCGCGCCCTCCCGAATGTATCGGGGCTTCGTGGGATAGGGTCTGACCAGCGAATACTTCGGTATAAAAATTAATAATAATAATAATTATAATGTTCATTCACTAGCAATCAATAAAGCAATAAGTAAGTATACAGGATGTTAAAAGTAAAAAAACAATGCTCGTCACAGAAGCTCAAGTTTCAGTGAAATTATCGCTTGTACTTGACTTCCTATTCACATAAAGGAGCATATGTTCAACAATAAGAATATATGACGATCATTGAGAATAGTACAATAAAGAATTAAAAGTTGATGATACAATTTATAACATTAATACATTGAAAGTTGGTGATAAAATTCATGGCATTTATGCATTGAAAGTTGGTAATGAAATTTATAACATTTATACATTCCATTCCATTGCAATATAAAATGTCTTTAAAGGGAAATATCTGGTGAAAGTGAGATAAAATTTGCGAATGTGATTTAATATTTGTAAAAATGTGTCCATTCATATTCGACTTATATGGTTTATAACAGATTTGCTAAACTAAATTATTTCGCTAAAGATGTTCAACATTTTTTTTCTGTTTGACAAAATCATGTATTTCTTCTCTTTGGCAATTAAACAGCCATTGTTCTGTTTTTTCTTGAAGAGATTGATATTATTATTTCGACAGGAAGTGAAGAATATAGTGTTGATGCCAAATAATTACAATGGCACTGTCCTGTTCATTTCGAAATGTTATTGGTTCACCCAATATGATTCTCAAAATCCATCTGTTAATTTTTTTCAACTTTTCCAAGTGACTGTCATTCACACCAACCCAACCTATGATGCCGCAGTTGAGCTTTGTTTGGAAAAAGGCGTAGTAAAGTATTTTGAGATGATTTATATCTAGGAAATCTTTCATATACTCGAGTCCAAAAAGCATTCCTCTCAACTCCTTCACTACATGTTTTATTTGTAAGTCCTATTTCAGATGTTGATCAATTACGATGGTTTCTGGCCATTTTGACAGATCATCGGAGGTCTCATATCAGGCAGTCCATTCGAGTATGAAGCGAATGGTGAATATTTTGTTTTTTTTCTGAATTGAGTGTCAGAGTATTATATGTGAACTAGATCTCTTTTATCTCCAAATCAATTTTCACTTGTAACTTCAAAGATTCCCATGAATTTTGCATGAAGTTTTTATATTCAGTAATCTATTGATATATAGAGTAAACAAAAGAAGGTTCAGTACCGATCCTTGTGGTACTTCATATGTATTGTCATTGGTTCACTCAAAATCTCACCAATGTGAACACTTTGGTCACGATGTGTTGAATAACTCTTCAAAATTTTGTGAATGTTACCTCTCATGCCATAGTTTTTCAATTTATCCAGTAATTCCATGTGATCTATTGTGATGTTCCTTGGTTGATATAGCTCATTGTCTAGCTTGATCTCTTAGATGAGACTCCATAGCCTTGACACTGACCGCTTCATATAGCTGGCAGGCTCTGGTTTCTCTTCCCCGCATCTTACGTGTCTCAGCCTTGCTATCGCTTCGCATTCACAGACCACATGCAATGCGGTTTCTTCTTCTTCTTGACAGAACCTACATTGGGTTTCTTGTGTCAGACCCATGTTGCTCATATGTCTCCTGAGCAAGCTATGTCCCGTTAGTAGACCCATCACTACTCTTATAACCTTACGGTTGTGGTTTAGCAGGTCTTCTGTGAATCTGGGCGATGGTTCCTTTAACTCTTTCGTCTGTCTCAATGGATGTCTTTATACATGTTTTCGCTACCACGCAGAAGGGTTCTGGGCCGATCATAACCTTGGATGTGCCTTCACGGGCTAGAACATTGGCATCCTTATTGCCCTTGTGACCCTCATGTCCAGGTACTGAAGCTAGAGTGACCCTATTTTGGGTACTTAGCGCCTTGAGTGCGCTCACACAGCTCACCACCAGTCTTGTACTGCGGAACTGTGTTATCCACAGGCATTTCTATCGAAAGCTTTAGAGAGACCAACAAATATACAAAGCGATGGGTTGCTTGTATCTAATGAATTGTATACATAGGTTGTGAGTTGACGAATTGCATCATCCGTTGATGTTTCCTCTCTAAAGCCATTTTTATAATTGGAAATTGAGTTGAATCTGTTAGAAAACCTGTAATTTTTCCTAAAATTTTCGCAATGTTAGAAATTGTGTAAAGTTTTCCATCTGCAATTATTTATCCCCATTTTCAAATAGTGGCTTCACGAGTCCAACCTTGAGCGCTTTTGAGAAGAAGCCTCTATCAAAACAGCAGTTAAACAAATAAGTCAAGGGAATTTTCATCTCATGAGATATATATTTAAAAGTTTCTGATCGTAAATTATCGTGACCACGCGATTTTTTTTCTTTCAAACTCATGATCATTTCTTTTACTTCACTAGTGTTTGTTGGATAAAGGTATATTAAATTTTCTTGAATATTTTCATTTCCAACGTGCTCGTCAGGAACTATTATTTTGTTTGCGTAATTTTTCTCCAATGAACTATAGTACCGTTTGAAACTATCAGCAATTTTTTTTCTGTATATAAATTGTCACCATTATTGGATATGATTTGTTCAATTTGTGTTTTAGGTTGGGATCGATTGCAGATGTCGTTTACACATTCCTAGAGGGCTACGGGGTGATTTTCGTGATTTTTTATCATTTTTTGCGCATAATTTTTCTTGTCAATTTCTATGATCTTGTCCGAATTATTTTCATATGCTCAATATTGTGTACTCAAGACAAGATGGTTTGGGTAAGTCTTTTATGTTTTCTCAACCTGACGTTTTTTGTATTTTTATTAATGTATGATTCAACTATTTCAATGACTTTCTCAGTCATTTCATCTATATCTTGCGGAGAATAAAAATCAACCGAATTTTCTTGTTTGAATTCAGCGTTGAAGCGTAGTTTATGTATGGTTTGTATTTTTGTTGCGTGGTATTGGTTTTTCGATTGAATTTTGTTCCGATTCCATAACGAGTGCTATAATGAAGTGGAGAACAAATTATTTCATCTCATTAGTTGTTTCAGATTTAACAAACAAATTATTGATACATGTTGTAGTTTGTGGTCGAGTATGTACATTAATGTAAGATTCAAAACCATAACTGTTCAATATGTTTTTGTATTCTTCCACAAAATCTGAATCAGAAAATGAATATATATTGATGTCACATGTTATTATATGAATATCATTTTTATTACTTGGTGATTTATAGATAGTCGTTATTTTTATTATTTCATCATTTATATATACGTTGATATTCAATATTTCAATTTCTTCAA